TGTACTTCTCTGGCCAAAGGTGCAAAATAAATGAGTAATACTTCATATATAGTAGAACAGACATGCGTCAAGCTTTCTTCATGTTCGTGTAGGTGGCCTTGAAAAAGGACATTTTGTGTCTCAGTGATGGCTCAGTATCTGGTGGGCCACACTTTGTTCTTCATCACCTGCCTGCACCGTGTCGGCATTGAGTGAACCAGTTTGATGAGGTGATCATGGCTGATAACATGATTCCAGGCTGCAATGAGTGACTCATTCAACTCATGTTTTGATTTTGGATGTGTCTCTTGGATATCTCCAAAGCCACCTTGTGCCACAAGTTCTCAATCGGATTCAGATCGGGAGATTGGGCAAGCCAGTCAATTGATCAGTGTTGTTCTGACGCTTCCAGTTGATCACCTGTTTGGAGCAATGGCACGGTGCATTGTCATCTTGGAACAGGAACCGGCCTTTAAACAGCTGCTGCACTGATGGCACCATACACTTTTGCAGTACTGTGATGTACTTGGTCCCACTTACCATTCCGTGAAAGATGTGCAGACGTCCGACGCCAATGGTGTTGTTCACAAATCTACAAAAAGTAATTTGAGAACATGGCAATTCACTACTTGGGTGGTATCTTGAAAGATGTATGTCCATGGAATAATGAAAAAGAAGTGTTTTCTCAATGCTTGTTTTCCTGCTACAATATTGCTGTGTCCTCATAACAAGCCATCTCAGGCTTGTTATGGCCCTTAAGCCATGAACAGTAGTGAATGTAGTGAATTACTATGTTCTCACATTACTTTTTGTAGATTTGTGAACAACACCATGTATTCAACAATCAAATCTGCATTTGCAAAATGAAGAATTAAAAATTAAAATAAACTATTATTTAAGAAATATTCCTTGGAACAACAAATTTTCATGGATTTTCAGCGATGAAAGCACTTTCTGCCTGTTTGGTAGCCAGGCCGACATCTATGTGAGGAGGTTTCCTGGAGAGGAGTTCAAGCCTGAGTGCCTCAACCTCACTGTGAAGCATCCTTTGAAGGTCATGGTCTGGGGCTGCATGGCTGCCAGTGGCGTCGGACGGTCGGACTTTCATGGAATGGTAAGTGGGACCAAGTACATCACAGTACTGCAAAAGTGTATGGTGCCATCAGTGCAGAAGCTGTTTAAAGGCCTGTTCCTGTTCCAAGCTGACAATGCACCGTGCCATTGCACCAAACAGGTGATCA